CCTCAAAGCAACAAAAAATAAGACGGAATTAATTTAGGGCTCGTCTTATAAAAATTGCATAACTTTGCAAAGAACGGGCGCGAGGAGCTGGAAGATGTCTCATTTTAATTAGAAATTTGCGGGCTACAATCATGCTTCATTAAAAGAAGGTTTTGGTTATTTTCTGGAGTTCAAGAAAACCGGAATTTCAAGAGTCATCAGCCCGAATCCTTTTATGGTATTTACTACCTCACTGAGGACTATCGATCCATGTACAAAGCATTGGAATCGGAAGGGGACATCTCGAAAGGTTCCGTCGTTAGCCTCTGCTGACGGGTAACTATGTTTATATTATTTTTTTATTTGTAACTCATTTAGAGGAGTTGATACATATATTCAACACGAACTTGTACAACTACACTTTAGTGGAAATGTTCATTTCTCTTCTGTTGATTTTTTATTCCATTTATTTTTAATATCATCTGAGTACACAACAGTTATAATAGAAACGTTAATAATAGGGCGGTGGTGGCTGATAGGGTAATGGAAAGTTATTATTACTCGGCGTATTTTGTTTGTAATCAATTGAAACCAATATCTGTCCCGCAGGCTGATCATATTGATTTCTTAATGGTAACCATTGCTGTTGTTGTCCCCGACTATTATCGAACAGCCAGCGTACGGAAAATTCACCACGAGCTAATAAATTCTGTTGATTTTGGCCGTCTTGAATCCAAACAAAAAATCGATCCATCTCAATATTATTAAGTGGGAAAATGAACTGACTGGTACCGCTTGAAATCCACTGTGTCCCGCTTTGATACAACGGTGACGTCTGATGTCGTTGATAATTACATTCTAGAATGACGTACGGCATCATGGGAAATTGTTGATTGTAGTTAATTGTATGTAAATCTTGAACGCATTGAATTGTAACAATAAGCTGACTTGGAGGTCCATTCATCAGAGGCTGAGGTGAATTATAATATTGTGGTTGTGGCGGATACTGCTGTTGTTGATATGGGTTGTACTGTTGTTGCGATTGATCCAATAAGAAGGCTGGTTGATCAGGCTTTGGAGGTACGTAAGTAGGTTGGGCAGCAGCAGCTACTGCTTGAGGTGGTTGAAATTGTGGTGGTGGTTCTTTTTTATTCTTATTATTTCGATTTTTCCATAAGTCGCTGGCTTTATCACAGGCAGCGTTAACGGCTCGATTTTCTAAATTACTCACCACCACCCATTCGGTGATACGACCGATTCTACCCAGAAAATCTGACATCGTTTTTATTAATATCTCTAAAACGGATAGAGAATTAGTACATTATATGAAGAGGATGCTGACTGTAAGAAAAAAATTGTCAAAAACTTGTGTGATTCTTGATCTGACCGTCTTAGAAAGGATGAAGCTAGAACAAGTTTAGTTTTCTCGATTTCGTCAGCTTTTTTCTCCTCGTTGATATATCTTTCTACCCATTAGACCAGATTAATTCCGTACTGAACATCTAGTTCAAGGAAAACGCAACTATTGTAACTTACAAAAACATTTTTAGAAACATAGTGAAAAACAGGAAAATAACCTAAACTGAAAACTACTGCAATTTTTTTGTAAATTGTTCGGCTTCCTTAAAAAACGTTCTGGGGATGCAAGTCTATAAGGAAAATTCTAACGTATAAGACGGTATTTCTAAATATATTGTATGTAGCTAATCACTTTTAACAGTTACAAGATGTAAAGTGGTGCCTTTTCATTGATGTTATGTTTGTTCCAAGAAAAAAGTTTGAAAAAATGGTATAGACTGTTGATTTCTAATCAGATCTGGTCAAGTGATACGTACGTTTTGATTTTTGGAGTTCAACAAACAAATATGATTGCCGTCTTTTACAAAAAATGTGCGTTTGTTTTTTCTTTTGGAAGCAAGAAAAGGAAATTACGTACTGTTTTCTGTCAAAGATAAGGAACGAGAAAAATTATTCATACACACAAGTATTTTTTTTCTTTTTTCTTTCGCCTTCATAAGTGTCAGCAAAAACAATTCTGGAACAGAAAAAAATGACCTTTTTGTGATTTCTGTTAAACATAGGGAATTATTCGATGTCATGTTATTACATGAGTCAGTTTAAGAAGGTAAAGAAGACGAACAAATATAGTAATATTTTGTCAAGCAGTACAAGTATAACTCGAGTGAAAAAAAATTTTTTCTTTTCGCAAAATAACCAAATCATCAATTGTTAGCTTGTATTGGTGGATTCGAACTTACTATGAAGGCAACTTCTTTCCTCAAAAGAATAGCTTTAAGTCTAGTTTTTTCAAGCTCCAGTCTTTTCAAAACTGTAACCATGTTCAAAAATGAACTTCGAAAACTTAAGAATGTGGCATCCCAAAAAAACAGAGTATTAGACTAAAAAATGAACCATGATTTAGCTATGAGAAGGAGGACTTCTCGATTGTGTTTAGTATAAAAAAATGCTGACTATACTTCATAATCGTTTTAACACTTATGCTGATTTTGTTTTTTCTTTATAGCCGCCCACTTTTTCTTCGAAAAATAATTTCAAAATAAATTGCTCTCGATTTAAAGTACACTAGCACTTGTGTTCAGTATACTAGAGACAACTATCAAAAGAAGTATTTAGTTTATCTTTTAAAGCTTAAATCTTATATAAAATATAATTAGCTTCCAACTATGACAAGAGGGAGAAAACCAACTATGACAAGAGGGAGAAAAGTGTACTCCGTACTCATATACTTCGTATAACCTACGGTGATCTTAAAGTACACTGGGGTATGTGGATTACATTAGCAGCATTGTGGTTTGAATGTGTGCAAACAGTAACAAAATCGTTGGTAAGTCAGATTTTCTGAGATAGACATTTTTTATCTCTTCATCCAGGACGTTTACTTCTAGTTTTTATACATGTTTCACTGAGAAATGAACTATCGTTTCGATTACTCTCACAAACTCTCTTCCGTCGATTCGACACAATTTAAAAGTTAGAGAAAAATACGAGTTCAGTACTAGGTTATCCGGTTATAATGCATGAATTGGTGCTTTAAGTTTGCAGACAAAGGTGTTACGTTCGTGTGAATAGATAACGTAGATCTAAATCAGCTAATGCCAGCTGAAACCACTTCAGTTCCCCGTATTAAAATCTTTTAAAAAAAAGCGTATTAAAATCTTCTGCTATATGTCTATGGGGGCAGTGGGGAAGGATTTACCAGAAAATGCCGCTTCTGTCCGGGAAAAACGAGGTGAAAAAATGATCATTTTATCTGAACTTCTTTAAGGGTGCACCCTTCTCCCGTCTCTTTTTTGCAGAAAAGTTTCATTCTGAGCTGAACATAGTTTAATATAGAGGAAAGTCTGGCCTATAAAATGAGACCACTCCCAGCCCTTCATGACCTTCTTTAAAAAACTTATGACGTTTTTAAGTTTTTCCTCCGTTTTTTCGATAGCCTCTTCAATCGGGTCGCATTAAGACCCATCGAAAAAATGGTCCGATCGAGCTCAAACTTTTACCCTAGATACTTTAGATCTTATCTTAGGATGTACATTTTCCTTAAGCGTTTTCGATTTCAACTTTTGGCGTGAAAAGGTTTTTACAATAAAAAGCTGGTTTTTTGTGTGCTTTTTAGATAGGGCTTTCAGTATTTTTCGAATATATCGAGAAGAAAAACATGTTTTTCGAAAAGAAAAATTTGCATCCTGAAATAGGATCTAAAATGCCTGTGGTAAAATTTTGAGCTCGACTGGACTATTTTCTCGAGGCGTCCTAATGTGATCCGATGAAAACTGGAGTTATAGAAAATCCATAGAAGAGCGCGTTGGAAAATTCGGAGCAAAAATACATCAATTTTCTTTTTCGATCCCCTATCTTCGATATAAATTTCGCCGCGATCCAACATCGGCTTCCCCGGTTTTCAAGAGGTTCAAAAAAGAGGGAGGAGGTACCTTAATGACTGACCCATTTTATCACAGTATAGATCCGTTCACAGGCAATACAAACAGTCACCCAATCAAATATGGGTGGCACTAAACGAACGAAATATTCCAATAGAAAATACGATACTTTTAAGAACAACGGACTTATGGCTCTATACATTTGTGTTAACAACACAAGGACGGAAGGGCGACTGAATGGACTTGCTGCTGCTTATATACATAAAGACATTGATATTGACCCACAAGAAATATTAACTTGTTATATACAAAAACATTCGCGACGTTTAGACTTTGGCTTTTAGCAGATGAGAAAGAACACCACAAAACCCTAACTGTTTCTCTCTCTTTATGCTTTATTCATGATGA